TGCACCCTTACAACTATCAAGCAAGCAACCCATTGGTTTTGCTTGCTTGTTAGTTAAATCAATGGGTTTAAAATAGATTTGGTATCCAATGGCGAGAATGGTTAAGCAATTAATTTCTTGTTGACTTCTGAAAAATATTTATGGTGCCCATGAGATGGCACTGTCCATTTAAAAATACAATTGTAAAAATACAATTATTGACTACCTTTGTTCTTAGTGGGAAAGCTGGTTTGAATGATATCACCTGGATCTCATCTAAGGAATTTTACATATTAAAGAACAAAAACACCTGTTTGGCTCTTTTGCTGTTTAGATATTGTTTTTTGAAACTTTTTCTTTCTTTCAGATAAAGCTCGCAAAGAAGGGATTTTTCTTTATTTCATACACTTCCAGGTCCTTTTACAGGAAAGACAATTGTGCTGACATTGATTAATTTCTTCTCTTAGGTCAATACCCTACACAGCCTTCCTATCCAGTTCAATCTCCTGGTAATCCGTCTGTGTTTCCACAGACCATACCACTTCCTCAGGCTCCACCTTATTCCGATGCCCCTCCTGCCTACTCAGAAGTATGTACTCCAATCACTTTCTGTTGTAAGAATTAAGATAAGACTTTCTGGATCAGATCAAAAACATTTTTTCACTTACTAAAATAACACCTGTGATTGATAATTGATGAACCAGACAGATTACTACCATACCAGCTGATTTAGGGACAAGAATTTTCTCTAGAAGGTTTCCAATTATTTTGGAGGTAGTTTTGCCAAATGTTTACAATGTTTGAGTTATGATTTCATCATATGCAAATTATAGATCTGCCTGAGCACTTCATTATAAGCCAGGGTCAGCATGATGATCAAGATACCCATTGATGCCAAAAGCAGAAGTATGTACTGAACCTCTTTCCACTTTTCAAACTGCAGTATCTGGCACTTAAGACTAAGTGTGGTCTTTGCTTCAGATACTCTTTTAAGTCAAAAGTTTTACAAGGCAAAGGACAAATGAGAGAAATTTATAAAATTTTTATGTTCTATTGTGAACTTCCCAGAAACATCTAGCCAGCTGGTCTACATTTATTTATTTATGGAAGCTTATTTCCATTATCAGTGGCAAAACATCTTCCTAAGTAGAACCAGAACTTTGAGAACAAAAATTTCTGAGTATATAGCCACAAGGAATTCTTTATGTGTGCTTTCTTCCTCAGCTGTACCGCCCAAGTTTTGTACATCCTGGAGCTGCTACTGTACCTACCATGTCTGCAGCTTATCCTGGTGCTTCACTGTACCTTCCTATGGCTCAATCTGTAGCTATGGGGCCAATGGGCTCTTCAGTTCCAGTGGCTTTTTATCCTGTTGGCCCTGTCTATCCTCCTGGATCTGCTGTACTCGTGGAAGGTGGCTTTGATGCTGGAGCAAGGTTTGCAACTAGTGCTCCTGGCAATATCCCTGTAAGTAGGCACAGAATACTGTATTTGCTATCTGTGATAGAGAATTATGAAAGTAGTTCCCCTCCCTGCCTTTCATGGTAATAATGGTATATTACCATCTATGTGTAATTACCAAGATGCAAATGAAATCATTCCCCCCCCCCTAATATTTCACAATTATAAATGCAAAGTACCTGCAAGGATTTTAAGGATTTTCAGCCTCAGGTATTAATGTGATGTAAACTGTGGGATAAGGCAGGGAAAAGGCCCGCAGGGTTCCAGTGTCACTTATGCTTTTATCTCCGTAGATGTTAGTGAAAATGATAATAACATAAATAAATTTCCTTGAGCTCAAGGTGACACTGGAGCTTTTCTAAGGATGCTGTGATCTTCTTGCAGTGATTTCATCTTTATTGAGGAATTACCCTTCTGAAAGGATAGCCTGCTTGATTTGCAAGCCTAACTCATCTACAGAATTGTCAGGGAGGTGGTTTAAAAAAAAATCCTAGTCTGCTATAGTTTAGTCACCCAACCATACAGTTTGGGGTAAAAAAAATCTAGTTAGTGTAACTTGTGCATCCTGGAAGCTATGCAAGAAGCTTGCTAAGACCAATTTTTGCAGCCCAGCCTGGCAGCCTCTGTCGAGTCTGTGGTCTGCACTTTGTTAGCCTTGTCATACGGCATCCCTCTAATACGTTGCTGTTGTTCTCTTTCAGCCTCCACCTCCTGGCTGTCCTCCCAATGCAGCCCAGCTGGCTGTCATGCAGGGTGCCAATGTGCTAGTGACGCAACGGAAGGGCAACTTCTTCATGGGGGGCTCCGATGGTGGCTACACCATCTGGTGAAAGAAGGGGGGGGCTACATTGGTGTAAAGGAACGACATCACATACTGTCAGCACTTCTCACAATGTAACCGCTTTAGTCGTATTAACCTGGAGTTGCAATTTAGACACATGATGATGCGGGGTGTCTTCCTGGTGCCCTGACCCTTCAGGCACTTTTTCTTTAAAAAAAAAAAAAAAGCAAATTTTAAAATACAAAACCATGCAATGGTAGGAGTGCCTCTCTTAAACCTTGGGGGTTAAATTGTGAAATGAATGTGAGCTAAGCTATCCCTCAGATTTCCCTTTAGTTCCACCAGAGAGTGCTTTTCACTGCAGCTCTCTTTCTCTGTGTCTGGCTTTTATTAATCAATTATATATAAAAAATGGGGTTGGGGTTGGGGATGAGAAATGGTTGGGGGAGGGAGGAATGGAAGTTGGAAGAAAACTGGCTTCCACGTATCAAACGTACCAAGCTTGCAGATCAGATATACCTGTTGCCAATGACTAGGACTAAGACCCATCTTTCCTTTTCCTTAGAATCAATGGTGCTGGGGAGAAAGATAGTCAGACATAATGTTTTTTTGGGGGGGGCATCTGTGGTAGATGCCTATTGGAAGAGTATGATTGAGGGGGGGCTCAGTTTTCATTTCAGAACCCCTCGGTTGGTTCCTTCTACTCACCTTTGCTCTCTGTTCCTTTGCTAGGAAAGTATGCAGCTAGAGCGATGTCCCAGGATGTCCTTTTTTATATATTCTTAAGTGATCTTGGACTCCTTTGCACATTAAAAATCTAACTGAAGCCATGTTTTGGTGCCAGAAATACAACATTTCATTAAATGCTTCCTGTATGTTTCAACAAACAAAACAAAAGAGCTTAAAATGAAACCATTTTTTAAAAAAGGGTGTGGGGGAGGGAAGCAACCCAGTGTCGTAATAATAAAAACTCTTTAAGTGGAATGTTATTCAGGCTAGAGAGACAAAAAAAAATGTCTGGTAGATGTCAATCAGTGTGCAAGTTTGCTGGATTGATGGGGTTTTTTTGTTTTTGTTTTTTTAGACACAAACATTTAAAAAAGTGACTTGGGTACAATGAAGTCTTATTAGGATTAAGAAGAATATTTCAGGGATCCTCAATCTTTTGTTGTTGTTGTTGCTTTTGTTTTTATGAATTAAAAAAATTATCAGATTTGGTGAATATATTTTATCTTAATTTTCTGTGTGTTGTATGTGTCATGGTCATCCATACAGCTGACTGTTAATGGAAGGTTGGGATTCTAGGTCTCTCTGTAAACACTGTGGTGCACTTAACTTGTGGACTTTTTATACTAAAAACAAGTAGAATAAAGGCTATTTTGAAAATTTGAATAAAGTGACAAAGTTGAATTTAGCCTCTTAAATTCCTGTCCATTATAATGCTGAAAGTTTTAAAATTGATTTTGCCTTCGTATCTGTTCCTTTGTTCACTGTGCTGTCAGTGTGAAAAAATAGAAGTTATATGATATAGGGGATGATATAAATATGGAACACATTTACCGCTACATAATAATGTTAAGTATGTCATTAGGAAGCCAGTTAGTATGCTTTTTGAAAAAAAAAATTAATACAAAGCCAGTTAATATCTTCCCCTTCCCTGAAACTGCTATTAGTCCCAGAAAAGAATTGTCATTAGCAGCCATGCATGCTTTCTTTTCTCAGATGACAGCAGTGTAGAAAGGATTATTTTCTTTGGGACTGAGTCATGGGAGAGAAAGAGTTAAAACTTTTCCTTTCCATATGCCACAGTTCCAATGGAAATCTTCCTCCTGCTTCTGCTGTTAATAAGAATACAGTAAACCAATATGCTTCTAGAAGTGTTTAGAACTGTCTTTAGTCCTGAATGCACTGATATGGAAGTAAATATATTTAACTTTTTTCCAAGTATTTTAAAAGATAGCAATCTATTCCCCCTCTGCTTCTGTCAAGAGCTGCTAACATATATTCTTCCTCTTGCTTTCTCAGCCTACTGCAATATTTGCCCTCATGCAATGCATTACCATACAAATTATTTCATTATTATTCCTCTTGATATATTGGAAGTTTAGGTATTTCCATTTAGACTGTAAAACACGTGCTTGAAACTATGAATGCGGATGTTTCTTCACAGAACCAAAGGTTTGATATGCACAGACACTACATTGCGGGATTAGAATGAATAAAAAAGCCATTAAGGTACTTGTTAGAAATATTCATATTAAGAAGGTTTAGAAAAAATAACATTTTTCGGAGCTTTGGAGTTGGTTTGCTTAACTGAAAGCAACACCCATAGAGAGTTGCTCATGACATTAGAAGTTCCTAATGCCTCACTTCCATGTGTGAAGGCTTGTAACAACTAAAAAGTAGTTTTGCATGTTAAATATATTTTTGGTTTGAAATGGGTTTTATTTTTTTGCTTTACAGATGGGTAAGATGTGAAAATAGATAGCTGTCATTTGGGTCAATCCTCACCCTGGTGTTTTCTTTCCTATACCAGATAGCAAACTATCTGGAGTAAAGAGGTGCCTATCTGCCTATTCTAATTGTAGATAATTAGAATTGGACAGAGTGATGACCACTCTGCATTGTAAGGGTTGCATCACTGCAATCCATAAATAACTTGTGTGTTGCCACCAAGGTGTAGAACTCTTTGTTCACTACTCTGTTTAAGCCGGAGTTCCCCAAGTATATAAACAAAACTTACTAATACAGCTTTAATTCCTTGAGTAAAAGAATGACAAACCTAAAACTTTCGTTTATTTAAGTTAGGACAGTCTAAAACATGGCAGCAGTCCGGTATCTTCTATATGAAGTACTCTTCTTTTTCACGTTTATAGGGGAAGTCTTCCATTTGAACTGATCCCTCTGGATCTGCTTCAGGTTGTTCATAAGTGTGATAGTTGCCTTTATTCTTGTACAGATAAATAACGATTATCACAACGACTGAAAGGAGAGTGAGAAAAACCACGGCAATAACAGCTTGAAACAAAATAGAGAAAAGAAACTTGTTTAGAGCAGATCGTTTTTGAGCAGATCTAACAGACCAAACAATTGTTAGTCTGAGAACAAGTTTCTATCTTACTTGCTTGTTTCTCTGTAGCACAGACCTCCCTCCCTTTCCCTTTCCCATTTCATCTACCATTATATTTGTTGCCAGAAAGGTAACATTTGAAAGCAAAAACGTAGAGTTCATTTAGGGGAGCTAATGTTAATAGTGGTTAAAACTATAGCAATCTGGGGACCCCAAAGCCTTTTAGGCTGAGTACCTTTCTACCTATGACTAAATGGTAGAACAAGATTAAAAGAATTGAAGCAAAACAGCACTGAGCGATGAGGAATTTATGGAGGGAGGAACCTAGAGCCTATTCCTTACATTTTATTTATAATTAAAAGTAATTGAGCTTTATGCTTAAGAGTGTAAATAAGCTTCTACATTAGATCCGCCTTTCTCAAGTTCAGCAACTTTAAACTATGTAAACTTCAACTCCCAGAATTCCCCATGCTTTAATAAATGTATGCAAGATTTTAGACAACATGGGAATCTGATCAAAATCCTGCACATGTCTTGTGATCTACCACTGAGCTCCCACTGAAGGAGTGGACCCACAGCGAATGGATCTTCATCAACAATTTTGTTTTTATGTTCTTGCACCAACATCGCCTTTGCCTACTAAGTCCTGCCAAGTCGTATTCTTCCTGAATCTGCAAGCCTTCATTTTTCAGATTCATTTATGGAAAGGTTATATAGTTTCCATAACAATACAAATGCTGAAATTGATTCTGGTCCTCTTTAAGAATTACAGCCCTGATCGACAAGAGAGTTAATTTCCTATCCTTTCATGGGATGATAACGTAGCTCCTTCAGAGGTTATATGGAGAGCAGCAGAACAGGCTTCTAATGTGCCCCGTCCCCTGAATGAATTCTCTGCCCAGAGCTGTATGCCTGATCCTCTACAAGCAGGCAATATAGATAATTCGTTAAATACAATAATACGGCTTGAAAACAGTCAAGATTTCAGCACGGGGGTAAAGAAGAGGGCTTTCGCATAATAGCTCCCTGGACTAGACAAGCAATTTTGTTCCCCTCTAGAACTGCTTAACCATTTCTTTTAAGTTAAAATAGGCAACCCATACACAAGAGGGAGAAGCCTGTCTTTGAAGAGGGAAGTTGGATGACTTAAGGGGGGAAAAAAACATAGAGCAAGGTTGGAAATGGCCATTGCTCCTGGGATCATTACCTCCAAAGCCACTACCAAAAAGGAATGGTCTAACACCTTGCATATCAGGAAATAAAATGTGCTAAGTGGGTAGCCTTAGCTAACCTCAAGGGATAAACGAGACCAGCATCACACTCTTGTCCTAGGATGCCCAAAAGTGTACACGCTGTGCATGAATGAGTACATGCGTGCATATACAATACTAATAAAAGTGCAGCTATTGGCTGAAAAAAATATCTGCCCTTGTGTCAAAGATATGCAGGTCTGATCGGGGATTACCTCCTAATACGTAGGATACACTGGCACTTTTACCACCCGCCATCTATGCTGCTGACTTTACCATTAGTGCTTTGGGACTATGTTGGAGTGCACCCCATAGTTAGCTCTGGAAAGATAATGGCTATTACCTCCTATAACAGCCATATTGGCATCCTCTTGGGATGCAGGCGTGTTCATCTTCTTCATGAACGGACTGGTCAGCATGCCTTCATGGAGGAAAAGAGAGGGAGAGGTCAATATAGCAGCAGACGGTGCGCTTGATTTGAACCAGGAAGTCCAGATTTAAATTCTTTTCTATCATGAAAATGGAAGAAGGGAAAGATGACCTCGCAACAGGCTCCCCCGCCACCCCTTTCAGGCTAACCTACTTCCCAGAGCTATATTGACAAGAAGAGCAGGAAGGCGCAATGATTTCCTTGGAGAAGGAATGAGAATATGTAAGGTATGCTAATACATATACTACATCTTCCAGAAGTAGGCATGCATGCACCCTGCACACACACACACACACACACACACGTTTTTTCCTACAGGGAAAAAAGTGTGTGCTAAATAAGGTGAAATGTTGAGGCATAATATGCAGCAACAATTGCAAAGAGAGAGCTTAAAATAATTAAAGGTGAAGATAAAGGTTCCCCTCGCACATATGTGCTAGTCGTTCCCGACTCTAGGGAGTGATGCTCATCTCCGTTTCAAAGTCTCCGTAGTCATGTGGCCGGCATGACTAAACGCCGAAGGCACACGGAGTGCTGTTACCTTCCCACCAATTTGGTCCCTATTTTTCTACTTTCATTTTTTACGTGCTTTTGAACTGCTAGGCTGGCAGAAGCTGGGACAAGTAACGGGAGCTCATCCCGTTACACAGCACTAGGGATTCAAACTGCTGAACTGCCAACCTTTTGATCGACAAGCTCAGCGTCTTAGCCACTGAGCCACTGCGTCCCTCTTTAAAATGATTAGGGACAAGTAATTTTGGTGAAATAACTGGCCAAACTGCAAGGGGAAGTGCCATTGAAGCTGCTGGAAGAGTTGCTCAATAAAAGCCTTCAACCTTTGGCTCCAGTTACAAAGCAGAAACAGGTCTGTTCTGTAGTGTTTCAGGGCTTAGGTAATCAGGCTTACTCAGTGAATATCTAATAATGTACAACAGTGGCAGTGCCAGCAGGAACAAATGTTCTGCCAGCAGCTCATTTCTAAAGATTTCTAAGACTTGCCAGCTATTTGGGAGCCAAACTCTTTACAAGAATGTATGACATCGAAGGATCTTATCATAAGGGCCTCTGAGCCAAACCAATGTTTTACAGGCTGCAGATAACAACCTATTCCCTCCAAACTGTGGCCAAGTCCACGGCATCCAACCATATACACACCTCACCCTTTCCCCTGCTGCAAAATTGAATTATATTTGTGAAGCATTAATTTATACCCTCTCCACCCTATCAAAATCATCAGTAGGCACAAAGGAAAACATTATGCATGACAGCAACCTATCTAATGTCTGGTTAGCTAAAATTGATGTGTGTAATTATGGCTTTTGATCCTGTCCCCCGCATTTTCGCCTTTGCAGAAATGAACACCTTTTTAACAATACACAACGTTAACTTTAGACTATGTATGTACAACGTGCTAAGATGACATTTTGATTTTATTTTTTTTTACTAGAACTTAAATGGTGAAATTTATATCCAATTTAAGCTGTAACCCATAGTTTATAAATCACACTGACCAAACAATACAAACAAGCAAACAAACCTCATTTTGACTTGAAGTCTGTCTTGGAAGCAGCCTTAGTTTGGCATCATATGCTAAGCAGCAATGTAGTTTGGTTTCAGCTTAGCATGTTGGGTGAATCTGTTTAATTGGATCTGTTTATTTGTCGTATATTCAGTAAACAATAGTGATGCCAAAAATGGTTCAGCATGATGTAAAAACCTAGGTTGTTTAAAAAACATTTATTTCCAAATAAATAGGCTGCTCTCTCTGAAGAACTCTGAACTTTTCCTGAGACATTAGAATGATTGCAAACATGCTATGAGATTACAGCCAGTTCATCCAGTAATTATTTGGAGAAAGTTAAATGGAGTCAGAGAAGAAGGAAAAAGGGGGGAAAAGTAGAATGAAAAGATGTGTTCCTATGCATGCAAAGCTTACAATCTTTATTACATTTCTCTCTCTCTCTCTCTCTCTATATATATATGTGTGTGTGTGTGTGTGTGTGTGTGTGTGTGTGTAAAAAAAGAGGCAGACATACTGTGAACTCCGGACAGCAAAAACAACACAGCTGATTACAAGTGGCAAACGGCTGGAAGGGCCTATTACATGCGCAAAGGCTAAATTGATTAATGGCATATAAAGGCAGAGATCTCTGTAATGGTAGTTTAATACTCTGACGATGTCAGCAGATGGCTGATGAAAGCTTAGTAAAATAGTAAAAAAGTTCCGGAGTTCGCAGTACGTCTGCTTCTTTTTTTACTAATATACCTGGAACTCGTATTTTTAGAATAGTTTGTAATACACACACACACACACACACACACACACACACACACACTCAGATTACTGAACTGCCCAATTTTCTCAAAGAAAGGACTTCTTATTAGCAAAGAAATAAATTACACTAGAAATAATAGAAATGATAATTTTTGCCTGCCTTTCAAATAACTTTTGGATGCTGAAGCATACTGTGACATTTATTGCAAATTGTTATAGCTACTCGCCAAAGAAGGAACAGTGGGATGGCTACTATCTTAAGATCGTGTGCTACTTTCAACATGGATGGTGCCAGAACTGAACATAGAATGACATTCTAGTATTGTTCCAGGAATACTATGACAGAGTTCTGAGATTTGCGTGGTTGCAGTGCACAAAGAAATGAAAAACCGATGTGCTGGATAGCTATAGATTCTTCCAGTAGAATAATATCAGTGACTAGATTTGCTCACTGCAGTAAGTCAATGTTTCTCAACCTTAACACGTATGGATTTCAACTCCCAGAACTGAATGAATTGAAGTCCAGACATCTTTAAATCGATCAGATTGAGAAACCCTGCATTAAACCATTATCTGATTTACTTGGTTTCCATTTTGGCATGTTGTTCTAACACCAGTGATTTGCAAACCAACCTTTTTATGAACACAGCCTATTTTGGCTCAGTCAGGAAACCATGATTAAAAATCATGGCTCAGTACAGGGTGATAATCTAATAATTTATGTATGGATCAAGTCTAGTGGGAACAGAGGAAATGCCAACTAAATAGGCTACAGTCAATATAGAGTATGATGAGTCCTCCCTTCTCGTGGCTGTTTCAGCAGCAAAGAAACACTGCTTCCTTATGTTTTCAAAGATAAAAGAGGAAGGAAATTGACCAAAACCAAGTATTTCTATAAATATTTTTACACATAGAAACATCTACATTCTTATCATTCAGGCAAGAGGCTGGGCTCACAGTTTACACTAAACAATAATGTAGCTTCCTTGATCTGGGCTTTTAATAGAAGCCATGATGGTAACAAAATTGTGAATTAAGCCATTGTGCAAATGTTGTGAATTACATACCGGCATTTTGTATACTGCAAAATGTCCAGAGAATGTAATTTGTGATGTTTAGGTGCTGATATCCTGATGCAATATTGTTGCCTTCCTTCTGCCCGTATGTCCACCAATACATGTATCAAAGTCATACAGCTTGTACGCCATAGGTGGTCTATTATCGTGTCATCTATAATTGATAAATCTGAGGAATACTGCAGAGCCGAATATACCATTCTCTCTAAATACTTCAGCATTCACTTTTCTGAAATCAGATTCTGAGAATGCCAGAAGCAAACCAGTAAGCCAACATAGTAACACCCACACAGACAGACAAAACCTGGGACCTTTGGTCCAGATTGCACTGAGAGTGTTTATGGAGAAAACAGTGGTATGCCTTCCTTCTGGAGCAAAGATTTAGGACTTAAGCAAATTTAGGTGAATTGAAAAAAAGTTCCGCATATATTTATAGGATAAATCTTAGCACTCTCTGCCTACGCAACAGCAGCTGTCATTATCGAAAAAGGATTTCCATTCCAAACTTTGGTATTTATTGCTCAGTAGGGTTAACTGGGCTCAAATTCAAAGGCTTGCCATTGGAATTGGGTTTCTTTAGTTATGGGCAAGTAGACTTATGCTTTCTGATTGTGGCCTCTGTTTATCGTAATGGGACATACGCTAACCTTCCAGTATTTAATCAGTTTTTTTATCTGCATATCTTCAGAAGTCTTAGGGAATTGAATTCCAACTGAGAAAATCTGTATCTTGTTCTCTTGCACTCTGCAATATTGATATTAGTAAATCGCATAACTTTATTTGCAGTTGCAAATTTTAAAAAATCAGAGGACTATTTTACTTAACTTGCAAATGATGAAGTCAACTGTTTTGGATTTTCAAGTTATATTTTATCTTATTACTAGCTGAATATCCGTGCTCAGCTACAAAACTATATGATCGGGCTTGATAAATCGGCACTTACAGCTTGAAAATTAATGAGAAGTTACAATTGGCCTCTCCTCTCCCTTTCTCTCCCTCAGCCTAGCCCCAGAAGCCTCCCCTATCCTATCCCCTTGTCTCCCTCAGCCTTACCCCACAGAAGTCTCCCCTATCCTATCCTCTTCTCTCCCTCAGGGATGCCCCACAGAAGCCTCCCCTATCCTATCCTCAGGGATGCTCCACAGAAGCCTATCCTATCCTATCCTGTTTTCTCCAGAGTTATTTTCAGGGTGGGAGGGGAAGTAGAACGTCTAACTAATTAGCATCTGACCATGTTAATAATAATATAAGAAATACTAATGATCTGATGGTCAGGAGCCTGAGTGGTGTAGGAGGCTAATGCCTCCTACTAAGGCAGCATTTAACATCCAGCTGCCTGCAATTACTGCGAGTTCAATTCTCACCAGGCTCAAGGTCGACTCAGCCTTCCATCCTTTCTAAGGTGGGTAAAATGAGGACCTGGTTTGTGGGGGCAATAAGCTGACTTTGTATAAAATATACAAAAGTATGAAGGCTATGGCTTAATGCATTGTAAGCCGCCCTGAGTCTCCGGAGAAGGGCGGCATATAAAAATAAATAAAATAAAATAAAATAAAATAAAAAAATAAATAAAATAAATAAATTTTGAAAAAATTCTTTCTTAGTGAGCACCTAGAAGCCAAGAGGAACATACATGCCAAATTTCAAGTTTGTAGGCTTTACAGTTCTGGAGATTTTGTGATCGCGGCATGAGTGGTTTTGGCTTTTATATATATAGATAAAAATAGCTCATCACACACAAAATCTACTGGAATGGAACCATGATTTGTAGCTTAGAGTTGTGTATTATAGTATGGTTTATATGCTGTATTCAACAAACCATGTTTAAAGTCAACTATGGATTTATGTGGGCCCAACTAGATGGAAGATGTTTCCTGAGTATGTTCTCCTTTGTTTCTCTACAGTCACCTCCACCTCTTGATTTAACAGTGAAAGAAGATAACTATCTTCTCCCCTACTACCATAATTTGTTATAAAGTGGCTAAATATGTTAGATATTGTACATATACTTTTAAATCCTATCCACGGATTCTCAACAATAAAATACTCTGAGCTGCTGAAATGAGGGAGCCTGGGGAAAAATAATTTTCCACATCCGTCATTTTGTGAGTAAGCTTATTCTCCATCCTATACAAATTAAAACAGCAAGCTTTCCTTTCTCTAAAAATCTTTTTATTTTATCATCCCCTTATTCCTGAGCGTACTTACCTGTGGCCGATGACGTTGTTGGAATAGCTGCCATGGCATCACCCTTCTTCGTTAAGTTGTTTTGACTTTTAAAATTGTAAAAAAGATTTGAAGCTGAGGAAACCAAAAGAAAGAAAACCAAACGATAATGCTGTTATCCAGATAATGCTATGAACAGAAATTTATCAGTTCATCATTACTGCTGATCACAGTGTGCAAGATGCTATTATAACTTCTTTCTTTCTTTCTTTCTTTCTTTCTTTCTTTCTTTCTTTCTTTCTTTCCTTCCTTCCTTCCTTCCTTCTTCTTCTTTTTCTTTTCTCCTCCTCCTCCTCCTCTTAAATATCAACTACAGACTGGTAACTTCAGTAATGCTGCTTGCATTTTTAAACAAGTTTACTAAAAAGTACACCCCATGGACTTTATTAGCTCCATCAGGTCAACCCTGCAGTCTTCTTGGCAACATTTTTCTTGCCAGTTCCTTTCTTATGTTGGAGAGAAGCTGACTGTCTCAAAGTCACCCAGCTGGCTTTCATGCCTAAGGCAGGACTAGAACTGTTAAGTAATAGCAACTGAATTTCTAAACAGGCTTACTAAGGAGCACACCCCAAGGAGCACACCCCAAGGAGCTTACTACTCATTAAAATTTTAAACAATTATTAGCCGTGCAGTTTTTTCTGTGACTTTGACAGGTCACAGACAGAAAGGGAGGAAGGAGAGTACCGGTTAAAAGCACACACCAGCACTTCTGAATAGGGACTATAAGCAAATAAACAGTCTGTGAAGTTCTTTTAAAACTGGCAAGTTATCAGAGCAACCAGAAAGTAATCACGTCTCTGACTGCTGCATCTTGCTCTGACTGAGGCTTTTAAATTATTTTCAGAAGTAGTCTGGCATGTAATATATTTAGAGCAGGGATAATAGAACAAAGAACCCAAGGGGCTGATTATCATAAAGAGTTAATAAAGAATGGAAGAAGGAGTATTTCTAAAGCAAAAATGAAAATCAAATGTATCAACATGTACAGACTCACAGATCACGAAGAAGAATTCCGTGAGAAATGAGTGGTATAAAAAGAAATAGAAATGGGATCAGGTGAGAGAACTGCACAGTAGAAAAATGAAGAAACAGGACAGTTCTGAGATAAGACCAGGAACACCACAGCAAGAAGTCATCAGTTTAGGTAAAGGCTAAAAGGTGAAAGCTAAGAGATGAAGATAAGGATAGATGGCAAAAAGCAGTTGATTCATAGAATGATAAGGATGACTACAGAAAAAAATCCAGCATCTGTTCCAAGAATTCTGCAATAGGAGGAAACAAGGGCCACATCTATTTCCAGACTTAACATTCGGAGTGGGTCACTGGGTTAGGTCACCCATATATTCAACAGGGAAAAGGGAACTAACTACAAGTGAGGATGTCATCCTTTCAAAGGTAAGTGCTTTTTTCAGGTACAGTAAAAAGGTAAAGGTAAAGGTGAAGGTTTCCCCTGCCAGTCTTGTCTGACTCTAGGGGGCAGCGCTCATCTCTGTTTCCTAGCCAAGAAAGCCACCATTGTCCGAAGATGTTTCTGTGGTCATGAGGCCAGCATGACTATACGCTGAAAGACAGGGAACACTGTTACCTTCCCACTGATCTCCATTTATCTACTTGCATTTGCATGCTTTTGAACAACTAGATTAGCAGGAGCTGGGGCAGGAAAGGAAACTCACTCTATCATGCAGTACTTGGTCTCAAACTACCAACCTTCTGGTTGACAAGCCCCATGGCTTAACCACTTAGCCAGTGGCCCTATTTTCTTGGAAAAAATAAAAGACCAACCCCCAAAAGGACTCACTGAATATTTAGGGGGTGAGGAAACCTCAGTTCTGGAGACAGCTAACACAGTAGTGGGTTTTAATTTCGGCCGCTACTGGTTCACTCGTGGGCATACGCAGAGACATCCAGGTGGGTGGGTGGAGCCTCCCGCCATTGCTGCCGCTACCGGTTTGCCCGATCTGGGGCGAACCGGTAGTAACCCACCACTGAGCTAACAAAAAGGATCTAAAAATATGTGGATTGACTATGACTGGGTTCATCTCAGACATTGAACTGGGTTACACATTTAGCCCACCATTTGAGCTCGTACAATAAACTTCATGGGTTCGATTGGCTTTACAGGTTAATCCATGCATGTTTAGCCTGTTGTGCAAATGCAACCACTGCCCTAGTTAAGCGTGCTATGCGAACCCAGCCTATAATAAATGACCCAGGGAGGGCAGAAGTATGTAAGACACTGCCTAGCCCTAACCCTATCTCTAGGCCTCTGCAGGGCTATTTTGGTTCAATAGTGGCAGGATCCAGTTTGGTGGGAAGTGGGGGCAGAGAAGAGCAGGAGGGACCGTAGGAGGAAGAAGCCTCACTTACCTCCTGGTCTTGTTTCCTCTTGTCCCCAAAAACTCAGAGCTGCAGAGGGACCCTGTCAAGCCCCATCCAAGGCCTAGATTAGCCAGACAAATGTACATCAGAAGCCACACCTTCTGGTCCGGGCCTAGGAGAGAGGAGGGCAGGAAGTTAGGAACAGGAAGATTGGAGAAATTGATCATCAGGCGGCGGCTGCAAAGCTGTAAGAAGCCAACTGTGCTTGGTGTGTCATGAAAATAGCAAGACCACAAGATTTCATTGGAAGTACCGTTCTTGTAATACATCACAGGAAAGCTTGAAAGGGGAACTAGTTTGAAATGGCATCCTTTCAAAAGAAATTGTCTGTGAAATGGAATCTGGAACGGCAAGATTAGCTTCCCTCCATTAATAATTTCTCCATCTTAATTATTATTTCCATATTTCAGATGTTCGAAAGGCACCCCCAAATGTGAGTCTTAAAACTCATTACTTTTTAAAATGATATATTAGAGAGGGTGAGTGTGTGCACACGAGACATACTCTTTCCTTTTGGACATTTTATCCAGCACCAATAACCACAATGAACCCAGAATAGTTTGTGATGCTACCGTCTTAATGGCCATTTTGGCATGGAAGACCATTTTTGTTTTCTCAGATATTTTAAGTGCAGTTTAAACAACGCTGTGCTGTAAGAAATAAATAGCCATATGCCTTCTACTACTTCATTTAAGTATTACTTAATGTAATTACTTAAAATGCTTCATTTTGTTTACATTTTAGTTGTTTTATTCGTTTTGTGAAACACCCATGAGAATACGATCAAGGGATGATTTAAATATACTAATACGGTAATAAATTAATACAACATCCGCAAGTTACTTTGATGAGAAGAAAGATTCAAAAGAATATATGAAGATATTCTCAGAATTGCTGTAGTGCCAAGAGACAAAATCGTATCCATAAACTATAAAAATGCATGCCAGTTTAATTATGCCATTGTTGATTGTAGCTAAAGAAAGCCACAAATGATCTTTTTATCTTCCTGAAGAAGGCAGCCACTGGTTCTGTGAGTTGGATCAGGATTTAAAGCTGCTCCCTTGTTTGCTATTAACACCACTGCTCCGTTTACTCTCCAGACTGGTAAGATTTGTCATCTCTTTTTATCTAGAAAATGACATCTTCATCACCTCTGAGATCGTGTCTTATGAAGTGAATGACATAGAGAGATGGTGGACATAAAACCTTGAGAAATAAACAATGCATTAAACTCCAGTGAAAAATTAAATCTAAAGGAATCTTAAAATGGAATAATGGATTAAGTATTAATGAAAGAAAACCAAAACAAATTGGTCTATAATATTTTACAAGTTATATATAAGGCATATAATCAAGTCGTTTCATGTTGTGCAGAGAAAATTGATTCTTAGGTACAGAAATCTCGTTCACAGGAAAAATGCCCTTCCCAATTTTAGAACCAATGCCACCCTTTCACCCTCACATTATGATCACAAAATGATGGCTAATCCCAAATTTTGAGTGCAAGGATCTCTTGGCATTCTTTTAACAGCAATGGTGAATGAAAGGAAATGAGCTGCTCTTGGATTGACAGCTGATGCCATCATGGTATCTGAATTTACCAATGCATATTATGCTCATTTAATCTTCAGACCCTTCCTTCCAAAATCAGGACATTACTAGTTGCTTTTTAAATGCATGATTGATGCATGATGTACTTAAGTTATACTATCGCAAATACAATCCCCATCACCTAGTAAGAAATTACACTCTGGTCTGAGAAAAACCACAGTGCAAATTTAAAATGGTTATTCATTTTTGATTATATATTAATTTCTCTTATCCTAATATTTGACCAAGTGATGCCCTTAGTACTCCTCAAAACAATTCTCATTGGTGTAGTTTTAAGCTGTAGAATTATGCAGCTGGACAACATGCAAATGCATAAAAATAATATATTTTGAAAAGTAGGCTAACGTGGTTTTATTGAAATAGAATGCTGGGCTACAGATCATCTGGATGAGTTGTTGGGTGATGCCAATAAAATGGATACTGAATAAAGAACAAAATGCAAAATGTAAATGTATGGACAGAAAAATATGAAAAATCAGAGTGAATTATTATTTTAAGTAGATATTGTTATATTTCTTATAATTTTTGGCGTACTATTTCTTTCTTCTTTTCTGCATAATGCTGCTTACCCCAAAAAGTAATAGCGTGATGGGTATGTATATTTATACACATTTAATTTGGATATATAGCTTGAGAAACAAATGTGTTCTCTGTGTGACATCAAGCCACTCCTAGGTAGAGTTGCCTGTCTTTTGAGGAATTAGAGACACTTTTGTACAGTCCTATTGGATTTCAGACTGTCTGGTAAAAATATAAGCCGCATATTTGATCAATGAAGAACAATGTCAGCTGCCATTCTCTTTGGGCTGCTGGATTACAGACATCTGGAGTCACGAGTCCTCTGCTCTGCTACTCAAAGGTTGGTGTTACTAAGTGTTCTTACCACAGTTCTGTATTAAGAATAGAAAAACATGGAAGACACATTATGTTTAGAAACAGCCACCCTCCCACCCTATCCTTTTTTGTGATTGAGATTGTGAAATTATAGTCTCATCTAGAAGCAGAGCAATCTACCACTCCCAGAGGTAGGAGGAGGATCTGCTACTCAAGACTAGTTGAGACTTTACTGCCCATAAATGTTGCCAGTCCTACCATTGTCCCCTCCTGTTAAGCTTCTGGACCAGTCACTTTCTTAATATCATTCTTGGGATATCCTGCATAGGCAATTGGTAAGAAAACAACAGAGAGACATTTTGATATAATGGTTAAGGCACCAGGCTGGAAACCAGGAGGTAATGAATTCTAATCCTACTTTGGACACCAGTCTCTCTCAGCTCTAGGAAAAAGCAACGGCAAGTCATTTCTGAAATTTATTTATTTATTTATTTGTTTGTTTGTTTCCATTTATATACCGCTCTTCTCCAATAGGACTCAGGGCGGTGAACAGCCAAAATAAAAAACAGAACATACAAAATTTAAAAGCAGTTTAAAATGATTAAATATTTTTGGCCGTAATTTAAAAGAACCCAATTTAAAATCAATTAAAATTTAACTCAAGCCAGCCCGGCTAGTTGAAATAAATAAGTTTTCAGGGCCCGACAAAAAATCCGGAGGTCTGTTATTGTACGTATCTCTGGGGGGAGGTTGTTCCAGAGGGTGGGCACCGCCACAGAGAAGGTTCTCCCCCTGGGGGTCGCCAGCCGACACTGTCTGGTGGACGGCACCCTGAGGAGGCCCACTCTGTGCGAGCGTACTGGCCGGTGGGAGGCTATTGGTGGCAGAAGGCGGTCTCATAAATCTTGCCAAGAAAACTGCAAAGACTTATCCAGGTAGTTGCCAGGAGTCAACACTGACTGGAAGGCATGCACACACAGACATATCCAAAAAACTAGACAATCTGGAGAGCTTTATATCTTAGAGACAACAAGCATGCTGCTCCATTTGTAAATTAAAATACAAGGGATGGTCACTTGGCCTCAATTTAATGCCACATCCCAGTCTACCTCTTGAAACAGTTCCTTCTTTCACTAAATTTTGAATTAACCTTGCTTTGTTCTCCATACACTAGATTAACATGAGGTGTCTACTGTTAGCTGGAAATTCTAACTGACTCACCAAGCAGCTTCCCAAATGCCAACAGGAAAAGAAAATAAGAACACATAGCATCTCTTTGTGCCAACAGTACTGTTTACCCACTTGGATTTGTCTGTTTCAAAGTACTACAAATGGTTTACGGACTTAATTCTCTCTGAGCTCCTTCCAGACAAATGGCTCCTACCATGACCTCATCTCACAACTAGTGTATTCCATCTTTTGTTCTTTCACACATTGTGTGTGTGAGAGGGTGTGTTGAGAGGGGGAAAAAAGACAGAAGAAGCAATGTGGAAATATGGAACATTACACATGGAAGATGGTCACTTTTTGTGTGCAATTTCATCATCCGAGTAGAGCCATTATAGAATAAAAGCCTCCTCTGAAGCATCATAGGTTAACAAAAGAATAATATTTATCCATCTAAACAGTTTAGTCATTACTTATAGGATTTATATTTTACCTTTTATTCAGAAGTTCCAAGTTGCATGCAAAGTACTCCCATATTTTAAGACCTTTAGGTCACTGTCAAGGTATGTGGTAATGCTGGTTAGGAGGAAAAACAATATAGAGTTTTCTGAATTATGGGAATCCCTTTGTGTGGTTTTGTTTTTATAGCTTTGGTCCAAGATCTTCAAGAAAGTTTTATAAAACAGATTTTTAAAAGCTGGCCTTTCCCTCCTATGTATCTCTTTCAAAACTTCAAGCCTGGTTTGAATTATTGCATTTCAATGATAAGGATGAGGTTGATTTTGTTATATGCTTGCTTCCAAATGTTGTTTTTGAACTACAATGTAGAACCCAGATTCTACATAGACAAATAGCACAATTCACTAAGAAAAATTTAAGCAGCATTATTTGACTCGTTCAGTAAATTGTTGATATATGCAAACCATATGTATTCATGACCGACTTCTGCCACCAATAGCCTCCCACCGGCCAGTTCGCTCCCACAGAGAGGGTCTCCTCAGGGTGCCATCAGCCAAGTTATGTCGGCTGGTGACACCCAGGGGGAGAGCCTTCTCTGTGGGAGCCCCAGCCCTGTGGAATGAACTGCCCCCGGAAATACGTAAGATCTCCGACCTCCGGGTGTTTTGCTGCGCACTGAAGACCCTGTTGTTCCGCCAGGCCGGGCTATCATCATAATAATTTTAAATTGGGGTATTTTAAATTTTTGGGGTTTTAAACCGGGCCAAATCTATTTAATTATTTTAATTTTTAATCATTGTTTTGTCTTGTGTTTTTAAATTGGCTGTACACCGCCCTGAGTCCTTCGGGAGAAGGGCGGTATAGAAATAAAATATTATTATTATTATTATTATTATTATTATTATTATTATTATTATTATTATTATTATTATTATTATTATTATATGAATGTTTTCAATTTTTTTTTACAATTCTGCTTGCTTTAGCACAGTTTTGGAAAAGAAACCAAACTAATCAAATATATATTTGGAAAAAAAAACAGGAAACTATTAGCCAAGGAAAGCAAGCATTATCTAAGTGTAGAAATTGCTTCTTATCTATTGCTTTCTAGCCAGATGTGCAAAGTGGTAGCATATAGACACAGACTTCAGAGGTTAATTAGAACTGCAGAAAAAACAATTACTACCAACCTGCCTTCATTGAGGACCTGTATACTATATGAATCAAAAAGAGGGCTGTGAAAATATTTACAGACCCCTCGCATCCTGGACATAAACTGTTTCAACTTCTACCCTCAAAATGACGCTATAGAGCACTGCACACCAGAACAACTAGACACAAGAACAGTTTTTTCCAGAATGCCATCACTCTGCTAAACAAATAATTCCCTCAACACTGTCAAACTAGTTATTAAGTCTGCATTACTATTAATCTTCTCATAGTTCCTATCGCCCATCTCCTCCCACTTATGACTGCATGAGTGTAACCTTGTTGCTGGTATCCTTACAATTTATATTGACTGTTTCCTAATATGATTTGATTACTAATTTGTTCCCTATGACCATCATTAAGTGTTGTACCTTATGATTCTTGGCAAATGTATCTTTTCTTTTATGTACACTGAAAGCATATGCACCAAGACAAATTCCTTGTGTGTCCAATCTCATTTGGCCAATAAAGAATTCTATTCTATTCTATATTTCAGTTAAACATCTTATCAAGGGGCCTGTTGTGTAGATAAGCAGATTTTCAAATTGGCTCCTTGTTAATTTTGTGAATAGAGCTAGGAACATTGCACCCTTTACCACTGTATATTATGGCTACATCAATTAATTACAACTAATTAATAACTTGATTTTGTGTCTCCTTTCCTCTCCAAAGTGCTTCTCTCTTTATTCCTCTTCCTTTGTTTCCAATTGTTCTTTCAAAAAGTAGTTTTTCAAGAAAAGGATTTTTTTAAAAAAAAATGTTGGCGTGGATAGGAAGACAATACTGCAATTGTAACTTAAAAAAATGTACGTAAATAGTACTGTATGACTACTAGTTAGAAGGAGTGCAGGGATTCAGTTTTGCAGATACAATGCTATAAGCTTGAGAACAAAAATGCAAGTTTTTCCTGCATCCATGATATCATATGCTTGCATAATTGATCAGTACTCTTTTATCACTCAACCGAAGGGATTGATCTAAACTGTAAATTAAGTGAGCTGCATATTAAAAGTATCCTCACACACCTACTGGTTGATTGCTTTAAAGCAAAAGTGAAATCAGTTCCATAGAATGAAACATTCTTAGTGATTCTTCCAAACTTCCGACTTCCTATTAATATTTCTCATTAATTCATGAAATAAGAATGATCCACATTGATGGATGCCAGATTTGGAACGTATGCAATTATGAATATTGAATTTGGTAGCAAAGGACTCAATCCCTTGATTTGTTTTTATATTCCCCTATCGCTATCCCACCATATCAAAAAGCAATTAGAACAAAAGAAAAAAGAAAAAAGTTTTGCATCAAAGCCCTCACTTAATGTTTTATCTCTACAGGTTTCAAAGCTTTTTCTTTACCCCCTTTTCATCAAATGTATATACCAACATTCAAGAAAGTTAAGTGGCTAATCCTTATGGGAATCTCAGGGGATAAAAAGACACCTGCAGACAAGAAAAAGATTGGGGAAACTGGATAACCAGCACACTACGAAATTAGTAGTGCATGTATTTTATATTCCTGTTAGTGTGCCTGGAGAGTGTGCTCGGGAGCAGCACAAGCTCCGTTTATGTGTAAACATATAGTTCAGAGCATTTACAGGATCCCAGATGTAGAAATAATTTTATTTTCTATTTTATTTTCAATTACTCCTGGGGTTAAATTGGTTCCCTAACCATTCTTACCTGATTGGAGCAATCCTGGTTGATGGGAAAATAATATTGGCTTGACAAATTTGTTGAATTTCTTCCCCGGCTCCACTAGCATGGATATTTCTTCTCTACTTTCTTCCTGTAGCTGCTTCCTAGCCTTCTAGTGAATAGGCTAAGGCGTTCCCCTGCCCATCTCACCTTTCCAGTTTCACTACGTTGATAATAAACAGCCGAGTCATCAGAATGCTTATTCCTTAACTCTTTGTAATACCGACGAGAGTGTCAAGGCCCATAATATTCTTGTGTCACTTACTAATAAGGCAGGGCAGTTTGGTTCAGCAGGAGGCACTTTATTCGAAGCTGCTGAGGTTGCCAAAATTAAAGATTGAGGTGGAGGATGGAAGATTCCTGCAAGCCAGTGTAGGAAGTTAGCACCCACCCTTTTCCTAGAAGAATGAAATATTTTAGGAAATATTAAAAAGGCAGAATATTATATTTCCCTGGTTGAGAAACGGAGAAACATGTTTTAAAGACAAAGCAGCTCCCACCTTCCTGCCCCCCCCATCCTTTGTCAATAGACCATCATCTGCAACACAATAGGACCCATCTAGCAACAGAAACTCACCACATGGCACCTGGGAAGATTACATCAGCCAGCAAGGCTAGCTAAGACCCCCACCCCCTGGGAGTCTGACAACCAATCAGGATACTCTTTCTGGGTCCCAGGAAATTCAAAGCCAGAGAGGGCATAAAACCCAGGGACTCGCAGCATTTCAACCCTTTTTCTGTTCAGGAACTCAAACCATGTGATCCTGCCACCATTAAACCATCTTTCCAAACAGTCTCCATGTTTCCAGTGTCTTTTTCCCCATTTGGAGCTGGAATTATCCAGAAGGATAATTCTTCTAACACCAGTATAGCTTATGTAGCCCCAAACCACCTTTTTTTCTGAAATTATGTAATCTGTAGTCAGCAGAACATACAAAGTAGTGAGCTGCTAATGTTTTGGGGACCATTCAGCAGCTCTGCACAAAAAAATGCTTCTGAATGTACTATAGATGAGATCAATCTTCCCCAAATTAGCTTCTCCTCAAGTCAGCAAGCAATTACACCTCCAAAGATATAATAGAGCACCGTGTTGAAGGAATCAGATGCACGTGTTTCAATTTAAAATGCAGACATATTTTATTATGCGTTAGGCAGAAAATAATTATGTTTTTATTGACTACTATAGGTACAGATATATTTACAATACCTCTCAAATGGTATCTAAGTGATCAAGCTGGAGGAGATAGGTTGATCAATGATTACCATCCATGATCATAATAAAATGCTTCAAGCAAGCAACAGATGACAGCTGTAATCCTAATGCCTCATTTGTAGTCCAAATGTAGTCCAAATCTGGTCCCAAACCAGATATTTCTAGTTAAAACAATGGTCTAAAACAGTGGTCCCCAACCCCCAGTCCATGGACTGGCACCAGGCCATGGCATGCCAAAAAATGGCCAGCACAAACAAGCAAAGCCCCATCTGTGGGCTGCAGGCAGCACGTGAAACCACACCCCCTCTCATCCACAGAACCAGTCCCTGGTGCCCAAAAGGTTGGGGACCACTGGTCTAAAATAAGAGAAAACAGAATACAATGTGCTTGACAACATGACAAAATGGATGATCTTAGAAAAAACAGGGAAGAGTTCAGAAGCAGTTGAGCATGGAAGGCAGTTCCACGATTCAAAAGGATTTTATAAATATCCTCTAATATATTCCGTAATGCCAGCTTCTGATTAGTGATTCATATATACAAAAAAGAAAGCAGTAAGATTTTTCCATAACAAACTGCTTCAAACACAAACAGATAAATGGCAAAATTAAATGGTTCCCCATACATGGGAGAAAAGTCCCATTACATGTTGGGGAAGAAGGTTTTTTTCCTCCTTATATACAGTATATATTTTCTCTGTGCAATATGTTTTATATATGAACTTTAATGTGTGATTTCCCTATCCAAAGTGATAATCTCATCATGTAAAGTTTCCTTAAGTTTCTCCTCCCTCTCATCCTTACAGAATAGAAGTTAATCATTTTTCTTAGTTTTCCCATTCTCCGAATAATCATTTAACTTTGTCTAGAAAAGCATGATTGAACTGCAATTATTAATTGTACTATTTTCTAGTAGATGAATGCAACGAAATTGCAACTAGCTTAAATGGAGGACTTCTCTAAAGAGTCCAGTGTGGGTAAATGGTCCAGAAACCCCAACTGTATTCTGCAAAGGAGGCTATCAGCTATTCTATAATAGGACTCTTTATGGTGATGTTCCATTTTAGAAAAGTACCTCTGAGACAGAGGCCTCAGAAGGACAAATTTCTTTCAAAGATTGCCAGTTTCTGATTTATAATACCGTAGATGGAACTCATATTATTCAAAGGTTCATATATCTTAAATATTTCCACCTGCATGATATTATACTGATGTGACGCAGCTGGCCTGGAGGGGAAAAAATAGTTTAATAATTATAGAAAACTAGATTTTGGAAAATGAGGCTTTCTCTTTCTTCCTTCATTCTGTTGCTTTTGAGCTCATTTCAGAGGGACCGATCTGATGAGGACCTGGGGGAAAATGCCTTTCTGTAGCATATCTTGGTTTTCCTTCCAGTCACTTTCTTTTATTCCCATCCAAAATCCTTTTTCCTAGAAAAGTAAACAAGTAAACAAACTTCAGTCAGAGCTTTTCCATAAGCACACTCATGTTCGTTATAATTTAAAAATTTGGAAAAGTGACTTGAATCCTTATGCATAGAAAATATGTCTTCAAAGATGCTAAATGTAGGGCATTACGAGTGATAGTCATCATTATGCTAACAGTGCAATGTTTATAAGGGTTGACTAGTCCCTGCAGTTTTCGAAGCAACATTTGAAAGTGGCTTGTCCTTGTCTCCTTCCAAGGGCTGAGAGAGAGGGACTGGCTCAAAATCACTTGGCAGTCTTTGTGTCTATGGTGGGAGTATAATTCACAGTCTCCCAGTTTCTAGCCTGGTGCTACACACACTTACTTACTTACTTACTTACTTACTTACTTACTTATTTATTTATTTATTTATTTATTTATTTATTAGTTCGATTTATATGCTGCCCTTCTCCGGAGACTCAGGGCGGCTTACAATGCATTAAGCAATAGCCTTCATACCTTTGTATATACCTGCTTAGTAGGGCTTTCGCCCCCCCCCCCAAGCGGTGTTCTTTTTTATACAAAGTCAGCTTATTGCCCCCACAAACCGGGTTCTCATTTTACCTACCTCGAAGGGATGGAAGGCTGAGTCAATCTTGAGCCTGGTGAGAATTGAACTCGCAGTAATTGCAGGCAGCTGGCAGCTAAGTGCTACTTTAACAGCAGCAGTTTAGTCTGCTGAGCCACCAGGCTCCTTGTGTTTATGTACATAATACATAAACACATAATACAGGTAGTCCTCAACTTACGACTATAATTGAGCCCAAGGTTTATGTTGCTAAGTGAGAAATGGGTTAAGTAAGTTTTGCCCCATTTTGCAACTTTTCTTGCCACATTTGTTAAGTCAATCACTGGAGTTGTTAAATTAGTAACACGATTGTTAAGTGAATCTGGTTTCCCCATTGACTTGGCTTCTCAGAAGGTTGCAAAAGGTGATCACATGTCCCCGGGGACACTGCAAACTGTCATAACATCTGAGTCAGTTGTCAAGCATCTGAATGTAAAGATCATGGGGATGCTGCAACAGTCAGAAGCAGGGGTGAAATCCAGCAGGTTCTGACAGTTTCTGGAAAACTGGTAGCGGAAATTTTGAGTAGTTTGGAGAACCGGAAAATACCACCTCTGGCTGGCCCCAGAGTGGGCTGGGAATGGAGATTTTGCAATATCCTTCCCCCAGGAGTGGGGAGGGAATGGGGATTTTGCAGTATCCTTCCCCTGGAGTGGGGTGGGAATGGAGATTTTGCAGTATCTTTCCCCTGCCATGCCCACCAAGCGACACCATGCTCACCAAGCCACGCCCAAAGAACTGGTAGTAAAAAAAATTGGATTTTACCACTGGTCAGAAGTGTGAAAAATGGTCATAAGTCACTTTTTTCAGTGCTGTTGTAACTTTGAACGGTCACTAAGTGAACTGAGGAGCCTGGTTTAGCTCAACAGACAGAAGCACTGTAATTTAACACTAGCTGTCTGCAATTAAAGTAAGATCGAATCTCGCCAGGCTCAAGGTTGACTCAGCCTTCCATCCTTTCTAAGGTAGGTAAATTGAGTGCCCAGTTTGTGGGGGCAATAAGCTGACTTTGTATAAATATACAAAAGGATGAAGGCTATTGCTTAACGCACTGTAAGCCGCCCTGAGTCTCCGGAGAAGGGCGGCATATAAATCAAATTAAAAAAAAAAACTGTTGTAAGTCGAGGACTACCTGTAGCTACTTTTATAGGAAAAAACCTGCTCGGTGTTGTTTCTGCTAAAGGGAGAGTTAATGATTAATGGCGGTCATATCAGACACAAACATACAAAGAGGAAGAAGTAAATAAACCTGAAACCTAATGGCAACAGGAGTAGCAGCTCTGAACTCTCTCTAAACAGCATGGCATTTTCAGCAAGAACATTTGCAAAACAGGTGACTCCAAATTACACCTTATTTTTTTTTGTCAAACAGAGGTCCTGCTTTGCAAGGAGGAGAAGGCCCAAGGTTCAAGACTTGAAGAAGGCAAGGTATACATCACACCATACTATGCGGAGTCCAACACTGGACCAAGAAGTCAACTCCCGAAAGTGCTCTTCCTTTAATCTCTCTTCTGCAGTTTAGAATAGGTGCTGCCCTTCCTGAACTGTTCTAGCTCAGGGGTTTCAGACTCAAAATTACCATGAGTGTGCATGAGGACTAGTAAATTAGCCCAAGGGCCATGACTCTGAAACTTTTTTTTTTACCTTAATATAAAAGTCCCTGATGAGTTACTGGCAGATGGTATTACTATTAAACACATACATATTAAATACTTTTTATTTTTACCAAGACTGTTATTTTATAGCTGGCCCCAGTTTTTTATTTTGCTTTTGTTACTGGGTTGATACACACTGTATTTTTTCAATATCATATTTTCCAATAGGATATTATTATGTATATAATCTAGGAATTGGTCCTTCCAAGAACTGCCCAAATCCTGGTATTCTTTTCC